TTTTAAAAAGAGATACAGCTCAAAAAAATAAACAAATAAAAAAGAATATTAGAATATTTAAAGTCAGCCTTAAAAAGGAGGGAGATTCCAACACGTGCTACCACACGGGTGAACCTTGAGAACATTCTGCCAAGTGAAAGAAACCAGTCACAACAAAGACTTCACGATTCTACTTATATGAGTAGTCAAACTCATAGAAACAGAAAGTAAAATGGTGGTTTCCGGGCTGGGGAAAGGGAGAAATGGAAAGTCGTTGTTTAACGGGTATAGAGTCTCAGTTTTACAATATGAAAAGTGTTCTGGAAACTGGTTGCACAACCATGTTCGGTATTTAACATTACTGAACTGTACATATAGAAGTGGTTAAGATGGTAAATTTCATGTTATGTGTATTTTACCACAATTTAAAAAAAAATAGGCTTAAAGTGAAGCCACTACAAAATGACTGGGGGGAGGGGAGGTGACAAAGGTATATAGCTTTTCAGCAGCAGAAAGAACACCAGTGTCAGCTCCTCGCCAAGTGCAGAAAGGGGAGCTGGAGGACACATCCTGGAGAGCGAGTCCAGATACAGACCCTGGGACACACCCCAGCCAGGACCCCATCTGCAATCATTTGTTCCAGAAAGAAAGGGCATGGAGTTGGGGAGCCGGCAAGGGAGAAAATATACTCTAATATTTATTAAGTGTTATATATAAGAAATTTCCATATGGATTAAATGATATCATTTAATGCTTACAGCCTATGAGGGCAGCTTTATTTGCCCCATTTTGCAGCTGAGTGAACCAAGGCCTGAGAGAGACAGGTGCTGACAACTGAGCCTACCACCAAGCGTTACCGGCTCCGAGACGCCGCCATTCCTCTCCAGGGCTGGGCCAGCGAGAGAAGCGTGACTCGCCTGCAGTCAGGTGAGACTCACCCACGTACTCGTCCATGTTGAAGGTCTTCACATATTTAAAGGACAGGTCCCCATTCTTATAGTATTCAATCAGCTTCTTATAGCAGCCAAGTGGGGTGCTCCCTGCAAGAGAGGCCACAGCCACGAACGCCCCGTCAGCCCCTAGCTCCTGCACGCCCAGGCGGCACACAGGAGTGAATCAGGGCTGCTCTACAAGACCTGTCAGATCTGCAGTCCTACCCAATGCTCCAATCCTAACTGCCATCCATCCCTTAACTGCTTGTTTAACGCTTCTTTCGCTGCTAGACTGTAAGCTGCAGGAGGGCAAGGCTGTGTCTGTCTTATTGACTGCTGAATTCTCAGTGCCCAGCACACTGATGATTGAAACCACTCTGATTAGCACCCGAGTGAACATCAGACTTAATTACTGACATGATACTCCCTGAACAACTACTATGTGCGAGGCGCAGAGCCATGAGATAAAGATGCAGAGGAGCAAGACACAGTAGCTACCCTAGAGGAGCTCACTGTCTAGAAGTGGGGACACAAAGCAGGAGTGTCAGCTGTGACGGGGAAGCACAGGCAAGACTTCCTCGAGGAGCAGCGAACTCCTGAGTCTCATTAAAAAGTCAATGTTGGCCGGGCGTGGTGGCTCACGCCTGTAATCCTAGCTCTCTGGGAGGCTGAGACGGGTGGATTGTTTGAGCTCAGGAGTTCGAAACCAGCTCTGAGCAAGAGCGAGACCCCGTCTCTACTAAAAATAGAAAGAAATTAATTGGACAACTAAAAATACATAGAAAAAACTAGCCGGGCATGGTGGCGCATGCCTGTAGTCCCAGCTACTTGGGAGGTTGAGGCAGAAGGATCACTCAAGCCCAGGAGTTTGAGGTTGCTGTGAGCTAGGATGACGCCACGGCACTCTAGCCCGGGCAACACAGTGAGACTCCGTCTCAAAAAAAAAAAAAAAAAGTCAATGTCATAAAACATGCACATGATAAAAGGCAGGAGGACACTGTATATTAAAAGTAAAGGGCCGGTCACGGTGGCTCATGCCTGTAATCCTAACACTCTGGAAGGCTGAGGTGGGAAGACTGCTTGCAGTCAGGAGTTTGAGAACAGCCTGAACAAGACCAAGACCCCTGTCTCTACTAAAAATACAAAAATTAGCTAGGCTTTCTGGTGCGCATTTGTAGTCTCAGCTACTAGGGAAGGTGAGGCAGGAGGATTGCTTGAGCCCATGAGTTTGAGACTGCAGTGAGCTATGATGATGCCACTGCACTCTAGCTTGGGTGACAGAGCTGGGTGACAGAGCAAGACTCAAAAAAAGGTAAATGTGGACAATTAAAATTTTGAACACAGTTTGTATATTAGATGATACAGGATGATTGTTTTCTTAGGCATGATAATGGTATCATAACTATGTAAGAGAATATTCTTAATCACAGGAGATACACGCTGAAGGATTTAGAGGTAAAGTGTCAGGATATACGGAACTTAGTTTCAAGTGGGTCAGAGAAAAACGTGTGTTGACAGAGAACATGAAACATGAGCCAGAGAAAGATAAATGTAAATGTGGCAAAATGTTAACAATTGGGGAATTTAGGTGACTGATACTGCACTGTTTTTTCAACTTTTCTGAATATTTGCAATTTTTCAAAACAAAAAGATAGAAGGAAAAAACCCCATCCAAATCAGATTGTGTTATTCCCTTTTTAAAAAACCCACCAATGGCATCTCATTTTACTCTCAGTATTATCAGTCCTTACTAAGGCTCCACATAACCTGGCCCCTGGCTACCTCTCCCCATCCTCACCCTGTTCCAGGCACTTCTACCTCAGGGCCTTTGCACATGCTTTTCCCTCTACCACAGATGCTCTTCAAGTATCTGCATGGCTAACTCTCACCCCTTCAGGCCTTTCCTCAAATTCTGCTTTCTCAGAGAGCCCTTCCCAGCCACCATATCCAACACTGCAAACCCCCACCCCTGCACCTAGACATTCCCTAGTCCTCTTTCCTGCTTCACTTTTCTCCTTCCCTCTTATCACCATCTGACATACTCTGTATTTTGCTAATTAACTTGTTTGTTATCTGTCTCTCCCACTATAATTTAAGCTTCAGGAAGGCAGGAATTCATATCCTTTTTGTTCATTACTGTATACCCAGGGCCTAGAGTAGCTTTGCATACAGAGAAGATTCAATAAATACCTGCTGAATGAGTGATAGTGGCAGCTCCTCCCCACCCCACCTGAAATTATCAGTCCCTATGACAAGGCCTTAGCCATGCCTGAGCCACACAGCTTCCCCACTCCTGCCATTTTCCAGACCTCTAGCCTCTCCATCCATTCTGTGAGTTCCCCCAATATCTAGCCAACAAACTCCTTTTCTGCTTAATTTAGCTGGAGTTGGTTTCTGTGGTTTCCACCCAGAAGCCTGACTGGGTGCTGCATCTAACAGAAGGAATGTTCCAAGGAACCCAGATGGAAACGCTATGCTGGTTGAACCATGACAGGCAAGGAGAGGCCAGGTCTTGAGAGCCTTGAACACTACTCTGAAGAGCTTGGATCTGATTCTGCAATCATGGGAACCAGGGAGCGGGTTCAGCAAAGCCCAGAGTCTGACCCATGCAGAGGTTGGGCGGTGCCAGTTAGGATGTGAACACAGCATCCACAGGGCCTGAGGTGGTTTCACAGGTACAGATAGATGCCACTCCTACAAACCTCCAATGCAAACTTTAGCCCACAGGCCAGATCTAACCTGCTGCCTGGTTTTGTACAGTTTATAAGTTAAGAACGGTTTTTACATTTTTACATTTTTTTTTTTTGTTTTGAGACAGAGTCTCACTCTCTTGCCCGGGCTAGAGCGCTGTGGTGTCAGCCTAGCTCACAGCAACCTCAAACTCCTGGGCTCAAGCGATCCTCCTGCCTCAGCCTCCCAGGTAGCTGGGACTACAGGCACGCGCCACCATGCCCGGCTAATTTTTTCTATTTTTAGTTGTTTGACCAATTTCTTTCTATTTTTAGTAGAGATGGGGTCTTGCTCTTGCTCAGGCTGGCCTCGAACTCCTGAGCTCAAAGGATCCGCCTGCCTCGGCCTCCCAGAGTGCTAGGATTACAGGCGTGAGCCACCGCGCCCAGCCTTTAAATCATTTTTAAAAGTCAAAGAAGAATATTTTGTGACGTGAAAATTATATAAATTCAAAGTCAGTGTCTATACACCCAGTTTTATTGGCATATGGCCACACTCATTCATTTATATATTGTCTGTAGCTGCTTTCACACTACAACAGCAGAGTTAAGTCGTTGCAATGGAGATCATATGGCCAGTGAAGCCTAAAATATTTACTATTTGGTCATTTAAAGAAAAAATTTGATGACCCTCCACTCTAGTGGATGGGTATGGCCATTTGGGCAAATCCACCCATTTCTGAAAAAAATAAGACATTTGCCTTGAAGAACTGGAGTCAAAATATCTTCCTGAAAAGGCAACATTCTGACTTTTTCCAAAAGAAACTGGAACTTTCTCACTTCGGTCCAGTATTTAATTAAGTCTTACAGAAAATTATTTGAGTGATCATCTTCTCAATTCTCCCAAGGATAGTACTTAGCTAGTACCTTCTAGATGCACAGAAGCGGGAGAATTAATTCATTACATAAAATGGATGCCTTAAGTCATCAGGACCTAATTCTGTGAAGGAACCCTGGTTGACAGGGCTGACCTAGGATATAGCCTGAAAATCAAGTTCTTCCTCCCTACCCAAGATCCCTCCTGCTCCAGGATTCAGCAGGAGCAGGCAGCAACTAAACCCACCCACGGAGGAAGCCGAGTCCTCTGTTTTGTATGTGAAAGCGGCAGTGGAGATGTTCTCGCACAGCAACAGGACCGCAGAGCCCTCCGCGACATCCCTTGGCTGAGTTGAGTCCGGGTACCTGGCCCCTTAAAAACCCCTGATGCCCACTTTCTCCATCCAACAACGCACCAGTGGGGAGCCCCAGGGTGAAGTACTTGTCTGGCCCTGGGTTAAACTGAATGATGCGGTTCCTGATATATTTGGCCGCCCACTCGCTGGCCTGAGAATAGTGGTCCAGGATGATGAGCTTCATCTTGTCCTGCAGTGGGGGAGAGGGCATGACAAAGGAATCAATTGCAAGGGGCAGAGAAGAGGATGGAGGTGGTTGAGGGGATGGGGGACGCCCTTCTCACCCAGCAACAACCCCCTTCCCAAGCTGTTCCAGCCAGGAAAAAGCCCCATCAGTGCACAGAGCAACAGGCTAGGCCGGCCGCCTCCACCACGCACCGGCCACCAGGAGGCGCTACTGCGGGACGGACCTGGGTTCTAATCTCAGTTCCTCCAATTAGCAACTGCAGGAGGGGCCAAGGACCCAAGTTCTCTGAACTCCTTTCCTCCTATGTAAAAATGGGGACAACAGTACCTTCCTCACAGATTTCACGATGGGGGATATTAAATGAGAGAATGCATGTAAACCACATAGTCAATATCCAACACGTTGGCTATTATCATTGTCCTGCAGCTCCACTCGGCCCCAATTTCCCACACCCCTGCCTATCCCCCCCAGACTCTTCCTCAAGTAGAGGGGTCGTGGGACCGTCCTGCGCTACTAGAACAGGCGGGGCGATACAGGCTTTGGCTGGGAGGTGTGTGCCCTGTCAGTATCAGGGGAGGAGTGCACCCACCAGCCTGCCTTGCCTTGAGGGTCCTCAGTTTCCCCCAAAGCACAACGGGGTAAAGGCAACCGCTCCGGAAGAAGGACGCTTGCTTCCCCGGCACTGCGGTCAGCCGGAGCGGGAAGGCCCAGGCGAGGGGGCCCGCGCGGCCGTCGGTGGGGTACTGTGTTTCCCCCAACCCGACTGCGGTCCCATCGCCCCTACCGGCCCGCCTGGGGAAAGGGGTGAGAGCGGCTCGCCCAGGGCCTGGCCCCGAGGTGCCGGAGGGCTGGGGCAGCGCCTCCCCGCCCGCGAGGAGGATCCCGCCAGCCCGCTCCCCACTTACGCGGACGCCTCTCGCGGCTGCTGCAGCGACGGCGCTGGTGGCCCGGCCCCGCGCGCGTCACGTGGGCGCGGGTCACGCGGTGGCGCGCGCCGCCCGCCGGGCTGACTCAGCAGGGCCGCGGTTCCCCGGACGTGCTCTGCCCGGCACCGGGTGTCGGGCCGCCCACCCTGTCATGTCGGCCTGGGGGCGTGCAGGCCTGCCAGAGACCCTGAAAACACTCACCCGTGGCCGGCGGGGTTGGAGCCTGGCTGGGCGGGTTTTGTGCAGGAGGGAGGCTGGGGGCCGCCGGCTCAATCCCAGGAATGCAGCCCTCTGGCCCCCGTGCGGGGCGGGATTTTAGGGCGGGGTTGGGCTGGGGGCAGGAGAGCAGAAATGCTTCCTCAGAGTCTCCCAGAGTTGGGCCTGGCTCTGCCTTCGCTTTCTTCATTTATTTGTTTAGATGTTAATTTACCTCGATATTACAACTTTTTGTTTTAAATATAGTTGAATTTTTAATGTCTTTTTTTAAAAGGTCAAACTTTGCAGCAGAAACTTTGCTAGAGAAAAAGGCAGGTCCCTGTTTTCCCCAACTCCTACACCAACATACTGCTTACAGTTTAGAGAACATTCTAAATTGTTTCCTATGAATATGCATATGCTATTATTTTACAGAAATGGGAACACATTATACATCCAATATATCTATACCAAGAGTCAGGTATTTGATCTGTGTTATTTCACTTAATCCTTATGAAAGCCCCTGAGGTAAGTTTGCCATTACTTACTTCTTTACAGGTGGGGAAACTGAGGCTTGGAGAGAGAAATTAACTTAGCCAGAGGCACAGGTGTCCCTCATAAGGCTTCAATTCAGGGAGATCTGTCCAAGACCAAAAGCCACGCTTTTTACCACTAACCTAGTTGCCTCTCAACTGGTACTGTTAGGTAGGTATCAGGTGGTTCCGGTCTCCTAGGGATGAAGGTGGGTGCTATGGCTCCATCTTGGTCCTGCCCCACCCTAATCTCCCCAGCAACTGCCATATCTGGGGAGGAAGGAATACCCTAGGGATCTGCCAATCAGAACTTAGCACTCCGGCTGCAAAAGAATGCAGAGAACTCTCTAGCCCACCGGACAAGCAACACGGTAGAGTCCCGAGATTGACCTAGAGCAAACCACATGCATAGTAATGCAACTCCCAGCTGTCTAATCAAAGTGGTTCCACGGTCATGTCTGAGCCACTAGGGAGATCCCAATCTGGGCACTATAAAACAAGACCAGACATAACCAAGTCCCCTTTTGTGCCCTTCCTTTGGCTCTCCCTTTGCGGTGACAGTGGGCCTGGTCATCACCTGTGGCGTATGTGTCATGCTCTGGAACCTATATCTTGCTCCTGCCCCATAATCCCATCTTTCCTCAATGAACCTCGTTTTTGTGCTTGCCTAACTTTGGTGCGTCTGGTCATTCTTTGGCCATGAGCATGCCAAGAACCTACATTTCAGACTAAAACCTGACAGTCTGACTGCACATTTTGGATACCTTATATGTAAGGAAAGAGATCCATCTTATTCTTTTGAGTCAACATTCAAGCGTACCAGACTTCTGGGAACATGTGGGAATTTTCCATGCTGAGGCTGGGAGGAAGGACGTGACTGGTATCAGTAACACCTTCCACTGCAGAGGGCTTTGCTGAGAGCCTCGATGCCCTTGGTTTCATAGCATCTCTCAGTAGGCAGCTGTGATTATTGCCATTTCATAGATGTAGAAACTGGGGCTCGAAGAAGCACAGAGACTCCTCTTTTCAAGGAAGACGCAGTCGCAGGTGCAGCGGAGCCCTGTTCCTCCCGCTTCTGCTCCTGACTCACCGCTGTTCGCTCTCAGCGAGGAACAAGTCGGTCGGGAAGTTGCGCCGCAGCTATGGCTTTTAAAGATACCGGAAAAACACCCGTGAAGCCAGAGGTGGCGATTCACCAAATTAGAATTACCCTAACCAGCCACAAGGTAAGGTCCCTGGAGAAGGTGTGTGCTGACTCGATCAGAGGCGCAAAGGAAAAGAACCTCAAAGTGAAAGGACCCGTTCTGTTGTCTACCAAGACTTTGAGAATCACTACAAGAAAAACTCCTGTACTGAGGGTTCTAAGACTTGGGATCGCCTCCAGATGAGAATGCACGAGCCACTCATTGACTTGCACAGTCCTTCTGAGATTGTTAAACAGGTTACTGCCATCAGTATTGCACCAGGAGTTGAGGTTGAAGGCACCACTGCAAATGCTTAAGTCAACTGTTTCAATAAATTGATTAGAAGTTGTTAAAAAAAAAAGTACAGAGACTCGTAGTGTATGACCTTACAGTCTGGGACATTCTGGACTCTGGTCAGCTCTAGGGAGCAGGGGAGAGACCCGAATCAGCTGAGGTCTCCTCTAGCAGCAAAAGGCCAAAGGATCCCTGGCTTCATGCCACGGTGACAGGGCCTTCCTCAATTAGCTGGGAGGTCACATTCTGCAGTTCTCGTGACTCTGCTCACTGTGGACAGCCTCGGGGGCTCACCCCGCCCCCTGGGCCCAGCAGCAGCTCCAGATCCACTTGATAGGGGTGGGCTTCAGCTGCAGAAACCCTGATGAGATCAGGGTGGTAGAGCTGATACTTTTACAGTTTGGGGGACTTGTTCTTTGGTCTCAGTGTCGGTATAGTTTTTGTTTGTTTGTTTTTAAATTCAGTCAGAAATCGCATCTCAGCATGAGGATTGCATGTTCCACAATGAAGTTCCCACCCTAATCTCAGACTCGTCAGATAACACTGGGCCTGGTCCACAGCATCTGCATCCAGATCTTTCCAGGAGAGTGACTTCATGTGACTTTAATTGAGCCAGTTTCCCAAGTCACCCCTTCTGCAGGGAACCGTTGCAGGGTCTCTGTGAAACCTGGAGGCTCTGCAGTCAGACAGCCTGGGAACGAATCAGAAGGATCTGGTTTGAACTCTGGTCTGGCTCATCTCTGGTTCTTGAGTGAGTTACTCAAACCAAATGACTCATCTCCAGGTCTGTTTTCTTATCTGGAACATGGGAATTGAGGGGAAATTAAGTAATACTGACCTCATGTGGCTATTGTGAGTATTAAAGGAAATATTAGCATCATTTGGCATTCACGGCCAGCCATGATTACCCCTTATTTCCGCCTATCCTCCTTCTAGCCTATTCTCCAACCATACTGAAATGCTCTCCAGCCCTAACCTCCTCTCTCCTGGTGATCCTCCTGCTCCACCCCTGTGTTTAAACTGCTACCCACACCAATCCTTCTATCCTCTTGTCTTGGAATTAAAGTTGGCAAGTTAAAAGAATTGTGAGTTCATCCACACAATGGAACACTCTGCAACTCTTGTGTGGTTGGATAGTTTCATACCCTGTAACATGCCCTTGCTTTGGGCAAACACCCTGCCCCCATGCCAAAAAATCCTCAGTCCATAGGTGTGCATGGAGCTGGCCCTAGGAGCTAACCAACTGAGACTCCATGGCCCTAGCCACAGCTGGTTTGAGGGTGGGCAGGCATGGAAGACACTAACCAACAACCATTCACAGCCCTCTTTCTCCCTTGCTGCTTTCCATTACAGAAGCTAGAAAGTCAACTATTCCCACAGTGAGGAGGTGGCCAGGCAACCTATCTCTGGCTGGTCATTGAGGTAAAAGGATGGGTTCTGGAAAGATATTTTACTTCCTGAGAAAAGTGACATGCTTGAGCAACAAACTGGCTTACCGGTACCATCTTAACCATAAGCCTGTAGTTCAGTAGTGTTACGTATGTTCACATTGTTGTTTGACCAATCTCCAGAGCTTTTCATCTTGTAAAACTGAAACTCTGTATCCGTTAAACAACTTCTCATTTCCCTCTTCCCCTACCCCCTGGAAAACCACCATTCTAGTTTCTTTTTCTCTGTGAGTTTGATTACTCTAGGTACATCATATAAGTGGAATCATAGACTTGTTATCTTTTTGTGACTGGATTATTTTACTTAACATAATGCCCTCAAGGTTCATCCATGTCGTAGAGTGTGACAGTATTTCCTTCCTTTTCAAGGCTAAATGATATTCCATTGTATGGATATACGACGTTTCCCCCACCGTCTGCCATCTATTTACTTAATTGTTCGATTTCAGTGTGTATGTATAGCAGAATCAGAACTGTTAACCCGCACCCCCATGTGAAACAACTTTATCAAGCAGGGTACAGTGCTTATGTACAGTTTTTTTTGCCTTTAGTCTTACAGATTCCACTCATTTCCAGAATTACTTAAGTCAGTGCCTTTTCTCCCCCCACACCCTTCAGTGAAGTTGTTTCATAGATTT